TCATGCTTTTGAGGGGACGTGAAACATTTGTTTCATTAGAGTTTTGTATTGTTTCATTTATGGAGTGATGCTCAGGACATAATTTCTGTTTTGTTTCACGGCGACTTGAAGTCATGTCATTAAACTTTTCCAAGATTTTCCATGTGCCTTTTGTGTCTCCTTTGTACAGTCCCAATCATTAATCCAACAAGCATTAAGGATTATGATAGATATAATCAGCCCTAAGGCCATGCACATACTATGATGACATTGATGATTTCCACTCATCACACATCTGCAAAGTATGGCATCACTTGGCAGTGAAGAGAGACAAAAAAAATTCCCTATTCGCATTTGAATTTGAAAAGTAAACCTAATGTTGCCCCTCATACCTTTACTTTACCGTGAAATCCGCTATACTTGCAGCCTTGCAATGAGAGAGGGCCAGTGTGTGTGCAGGGTTTTAAGCCGCCAGAAGTGGGGGAAAAATGTGAAAAAAGTGAAACTAGCCATACACTCTCTCCAATGTGACATTTTGATCTAAATTCCACAACTAAACATTGCAGACAAGTTATTAAAAAAAAAACAAGTAAGAAACTTTTTTCCAGTGTCTCATCATTTATTCTGTTGCTTTTGAAATACATTACAATATTTTCAAAAACCTTTGAAAAGGAATGAAAACACAGAAAATAATGAAAGAGCTCAGTTCTGAACAACATCTGATCAATACTGACTTGAACAGAATGTAGTCCAAGTCTGGTTAATAACAAGTGTATATGGCCATGGGCACAAACCACTCAAGTCAGAAAGAAATAACTGATTTTCCTGACTAGATGTGCGATAAAGATGCTTTTTCCACAAGACTGTCTGGCACACTGATCATAGGCTTGATGGCAGGGATACACAATCTATCATTTAAATTTTTTCTGGTATTTATACATTTTCCTTTTTGTATTGAAAACACACACACACAGCAAAATCTGTACATGATAAAAAGACTTCACTGTCCTGCTAAATTCGCTATGTGCATGCTAGAAAATAAACATGAATGTCCTGCCGACCTATTTAAAGTATAAAAGTATCAGAGGAAATTTCAAAGTTAGATGGTTTGTGCCTGAGGCCATCAATATATATTCATTATAATGCCCGAGCTGTACATGTTTAATAAATATTGTCTGTTTTAAACAAAAACAATTTCACACCCAAGAAAGTCAATCTTTGGTTTACAATCAATTTATCTATCACAAATAGCATCAATCAGGGAAACAAGAAACTGAAACTTAAATTAACATCTCTTGGCACAGGTGTTTTTAAAATTTAAATCACAAAATCACTCTGGCCTGGGTTCCTCCTGCTCATATCAGGAGGATTGAAATTCTCTCCCAAGAAGGAAACGAGGACAATAAAAAACATTTGTTCTTCTAATATCAATTGTGGCACAAGTTTCTTTCATAAAGTTAAACAATGTAACCCGACAAAGCCAAGGAGCTTGGAATGTCTTACAGCAGAGATCGATCCATCAGACTCAACTCTCTTCAAAGACGTGCTGGAAGTGAGAGGAGTTGGTGGAGGTTGTGAAGCAGAAGTTCTGCAAGAGCCATATGGAGACAAAGAAGATTATTTTAAAAATGACGCCAGAAACTTTCTCATCAAACTCTGCCGCAAATAAGAAAGCGGTTTCCTCTTAGACAGGATTCTGTGATGGCATACATGCATTTACTCAACCCAAGAGAAGCTGTCAAAGCTGATAGACACATGCCCTGTCAAATCAGCTCTTCCAACAAGAGGCCCCTCTCATTCACAGACAACACAGACTCTGATCAGGACTTATGAAAGACCTCACGCTAATGTTTGTCAAGCCTTGTGGGCTGAGGGGAAAGCTTGTCTCCGATGTTGATTATTCATCAGCCTACAACGTTGTGGATGGAAAAAACCTTATGACTGGTTCTAGTCTCATGGACTGTATGGAAACAGAGAATGTCAGCACAGAAAAGAGGAAATTCTTTTACAAGAATATTGTGCATTTCTGGAGCACCGCCTGCACACATCTCCTAAAAAATCTGCCACTGGATGATAGGCCAGTTATTAAGCATGCAGAGGTTGCAGATATTCTGTGGAGAGAGAATGCCAAGTTTTCTTCCTTGAAGTTCTTCTTGAAGAGGTTTCCACCCTTGCTGCCTCCTGCTGTGACTATTGACAAAGTGGAAAAAGAATTCAGGAACTATCAGAACTGTGACCTGCCAAACCCTCCTGATTTTGAAAAGCTACCAATGGACCAACAATGGAAAAAAACAGCAAAAACTGAAAAATCATTCTGGCTCTCCTCTGTTGAAACATCTTCCCTCTATCATGCTAAAAATCATTTCCATACCCAACACAGCAATGCCAGCAGTGAACGAATTTTCAGTCTTGTTTGAGTGAACGGGACAGACTTTCGCAGTTCTACCCTGCAGTCTTCTCATCTTGAAACAAAATACACAAGAGTGCTTCAAAAGACATCCCGCAGCAAGTGTACTGAAAGCATGAAGCAATGACTAGTAAGTCCACCATTATTATCATTATTATTATTCTCCCCCCCCCCCTCCATTTTTGCTACATACTAGAATCTACTCCTCACCTGGCTGAATTTTTTGTTTAACTCTTTGAGCCCGGATTCTCGCAAGAGCGGGATTCGCGAACATGTGTCAAAAATCCTGACTCCCTCTCAAGCGGGATTCACAAATGGCCTCAGCTCTAGGCTCGTCATGCACTAAAAATAGACAGCCAATGGCTATAAATCTAAAATTTGCTCCGTGACTATTCAAAGATGTCATCTGTTTCTACATGTGTAGTTTCTGGAAGATTTTCTGGAAAAAAATTGGATTTACTTCACCGTAAAAATGAGGCGAGCTAATGTGAATGAACCCAGTACTTCCAGTGGTAAAGGGGCTAGAACTGAGTTTAGTACCCAACAGGTAATTTATTTTTTCGCTGGAGATTCAGAATCGAATGAAGAAGACCTAGAAAGAGATTATGAAACAAAAAGTGAAAGCGGTATTGATCACGAAGCAGGCCAAGGTGAGGATAGATCTAGATCTAGTGAAAGTGGTGACAACAATGACAGGAATGTTGCGTGGCACTAGACCAGCTGATCATGGGGAAGCTGATCAAGGCCAGGTAGACCTAGATCTACATGATGGATGGACTGATGTGTTCACAAGACCTTCTGTACATCTAAAGCAACAGTTTATGAATCAAAATATGGGCCCACAAAACCTTGTGGGCGGGTGTGCTAAAAACGATCAGCTAACGCGGCTCAACCGCTGCCGCAGGTACTACCGCTGGCCCCGCCGTTTTTTCGTCAAGTTTTTCAGGTGGGCATTGTATAATAGCTATACGCTGTTCATGTCTAGAAGCGACAAACACAAATCTTTCACTGAATACATTCAGGACATCTGCCTTGCCCTTGTTGGAAATTATCGATCATCCAGCCGCTTGAGCATTCGTCACCAACCAAATGAACAACGCTTCCTTCACGCCTGGTAATCATTTCCCTGAAGTGCCCCCTGGAGCTAGCAAAAACCATGTCTGTGATGTCTGTAGAAAGAAGCACAACCAATGCCAAGCTGCCAACCCCGGAGTGGAGTACAAAGACAACCTGCATAAGTTGACAAAGACATTTACATGGTGCAGTTTTGCCGCCACTATCTCTGCGTCAAATGCGACTCCACACGCTGGGCCCACTGGCAAACAGAGGTCCAATACTAGCGTTAACATAAAGATAGGCCATCTTTGTACCTTGTCTTCAAATTTTGAGTAATTATCTTTTGCAGTTCCTTAGCTCTTTGCCTACTTTATGCCAATATATCGGCTCCCGCTCCTGGCCTAGCTGGACTGTGTGCCGATACATCGGCTCACTCAGTGTCAGTCAGAATTTTGTCTCGTTTTACCTCAGATTCAACTTTTTATACATCTTATTGTTAGTACAAAGTACTGGACTTCCTGTGGAACGAAATTGAAGCAGCAGTAGCAGTAAATTCAGCGCTTTGATTCTGCTGGCTCAGTTTACAAGTGTGTGTTTGTGTTTTACCCCCAAAAAAGCAGCTGAAAATGACCACGCCCACTCCTGGTTCATCTAGACCCCCAAGACGTCTTACAAGTGAACAGGCTAGGTCAGCAGTGTTTGCTTTTTGAGTTCTGAATCAGAGGATAGTGGTAGTGAAAGTGAAAGTGTTGATTCTAGTCCCAGATCTAGCAGTTGTAGAAGAGTTGTTGACAATACCAGATCTAGATCTACGAACATCTCTGGATCAGAATCTTGCGATAATGAAACTAGTCGTGACAATGGTACTGAAGATCAGCCCTTACTAAAGCGAAGGAGAGTTGTGGGAAAAGGTAAATGCAAAGAAAAAGGGAAGAAAAGCCCATGCAGTCCAGCAAATGAAGCCTTGCAACAACACCAAGAGACACAGTGGGAAAAAGTAGCTTTGGGAACTGAGGTAGGCGCTACGGAATTCCGTGAAACTGACTCTGGACTAAAACTAGATCTAGACCACACAGCTACTCCTATACAGTTCTTCTCTGCTCTGCTTGCAGAGGAAGTTGTAGATAAACTTATAACAAATATAAACCAGTATGCAGACAAAGTAATTCAGCAGCACACTCCACTATGAAAGCATTCCATCTTCAATTCTTGGGAATCCATCGGCCGATATGAAATGTACAAATATTTCGCAGTCATCATTGCTATGGGTAAGGATCCTCGTCTTGCCATCAAAGCCTACTGGTCACAGACTGCCCATTAATTCACCCCATTATTGTATAGTAGCATGTTTCCAAGGTGTCAGTTTGAGCTTATCCCCACTGCGTTTTGCATGCAAGCAAGGTAGATGCAGAAGGAAAAACGAAAATTAATGAAATAGTTATCGTTTGGAAGGGACGGTTCAAACGCAGACAATTCAATGCGTCAAAACCTAAAAAGTTCCATACAAGATCTTTCGGGGCTTGTGATTCGACAACAGGCTATGTGTGGAATTTACTAATTTATTTCGGAATGGGAACGTCGTACTGACCAGAAGTGGATCAACCATCAGCCCATGCAGTGAAGGTTTTGGACAAATTGCTGGAACTATTGAAGCCTCACCATCCCATCTATGCAGACAGGGTTTATACATCTGCTGCACTCCTCAAATACCTCCAGGAGAAAAACTACAATTACACCGGCACCCTTCAAGTCAACCGAAAGGGATTTCCACCTCAGCTCAAAACACAAACACTTGCTCACCACAGAGAAGTAGTTTTCTACAAGGATAAAAACTCTAAGGTGCTTGTAGCCAGCTGGAGGGACAAAAAAGCTAAAAAGCTGTGCATTCTGGTGTCTACGCATAGTACTGCCGGCATGGTGACTGTGCAGGAAGTAGGGCAACCAGTAGAAAAGCCGATCATGGAGCAAGACTATAACATGAAGATGAATTGGTGCGATCGAATAGATCAACTCATCTCATATTATGGCACTCATTCTCGTAAAACCAAGAAATGGTGGAAAAAAGTGTTTGCCTGGATGACTGAAGTGGCGCAAGTAAATTCGCACATACTGTTCAAACTCTCACGTCCAACAGAGACAAAGCAAATGCCACTTGCACAGTTCAAGGACATACTTATCAAGGAATTGACTGCTGTGGCTGCAAGCATAAGTCATCTTGCTATTCTCCCCACACTACAAAAGGGCAGAAGACCAGAAGGCACTCCAACTGAGAGGGCACAAGGACAACATTTGATTGACTTTGATGGGGCAGATGTCAATTGTTGTATAGAGTAGTATTGTTGTTCTTTTCTGGTTTCGGCTGAATTTTTATAAATTATGCATTTTCACCCAACGACACTAAAATGGACATAACTTTTACAAATATGGACCTATCAACATGATTCCAACTGTTGTTTATTGGATATTGGCTGCAGTTTGCTCTACTGGAGGATACCTGGGATAGTAGAAGAATAAAAGCAATATTTGGAGGTTAGTTTTCAATTTTTATGTTCCTATTTTTATTGTCAGAAAGTTCCCTCTCTTTCACTCCCTGTCATTTCTTTATTTCAATTAATTTAGCATCAAATCAAATTTATTGCGACAGTCCATTCATTTTCCTTTGATTTCTGACCAAAACTAAAGAGATAGCAGCTACATTTTTAGTGAAGTTATGACTGTTTTTCTGACATACCCTGGGCTGTAAATTTTTTAGGGGAAATAATTCAGTCCAAACTCCAAAAAAATTTCAGTAGGCAAAGAGTTAGATATGGCTGTCCATCTGTACCCTATGCATTTTGGTCTATTTTGGCTGGGGAACCCAGGAACAGAGATACGCTTTAGTGGAGCAGCTCAGGGCTCAAAGGGTTAACAAATCCAAAGAGTTTTTAGGGGGGGGGGGGGTAAGTCTTATAAGTTATGTAGCCCTGCGAAGTCCGATGTGTCCCTCGATTAATTTTTCCCAACTTGGCAGCCCTGCCAAGACTTTACACACATAAAAGCTTTTTTAAGTCTGCAGTCTATATAAGTTTACTACTAGGCAAGGACATCTATGTGTACGATATCTGCACAAACGTAATGACCAGCCAGACCATATTACAGACTAGGTCTTTTTGAGAAAGTCAGTGAATCAAAAACCTCTTTCATCACAACTTCCTTCACAAAGGTCAACTATAAGTTATTAGACTAAACATCCATTATGACAATAAATGCGAAACACACAAGCTCGGGTCACAGCCAATATAATATTTCTGTTTTGATTCTTGGTGTTGGTGGTGGTGGGGAGAAGAAACTTGTTCTTTCACAACTTAACAAGTTCAGTCCATCAACTGAAGAAATATGGCGACTTCAGCACATTGTCCAAATTGAATGAACCTGAGAAAAAGCAATAGATATAAGTCAGAAATTTTACAGCGAGTGCCTAAAAACAGAATCGACAAATTCATCTTAACCAAGTTCTGAGAGATGAAACAGCAAAATAGCAACAGAAACATCCTTTCTACAACATGACTTTCATTCATTAAAATCCAATTGAAAGGGACAGTAGGAGGAACGAAAAGTCTAAATCCATCAAAACCTAAAATATGGTATGAAAAGATAAAGAATGAGAACAATATATTGCATAAAAACTAAATTTAGTGCTTTATCCTCAAGAATATATTGACTGCTTAGCGTGAGACTCCACCATACTTTCATTTGTCAAATGTGGTGTACGATGGAGTCTTACGCTACTAAGCAGTAAATAACCACTGTGGGTCATTGGAATAAATATCTAACCCACATGAAGTACATGTGAACACAAAGATCAGCTTACATCTGAAAAAATCTGGACTATTTGAAATAAAACTAAAATTTAAACTAATAATATAAACATTTTCAGGACAAATAAAAACACATCACTGCACTGTAAAAGTAAAGTATTTTTAAAATGCGTCTTCACGTAAATATATAGAACTCAGTAGGAGAAAAAAAAATGCCCCCTCCCAAAAAATAAATATCTGAACATTAACCCCATGAGCCCTTGCCACCGGTAAAACTGTCCGTATGCCAAGCCATCATTTCACCTGTGAGCAAGATCCCATCCCCAACCTGGCCTGCCCAAAACAAAACGCATATATATATATATGGAAAACAGTGTTTACTACACAAGACATTATTGATTTTTTAAAAGATCTTTCGGAATTAGATGGTATTGACAAGGACTACCCTGAGAGGAATTCTGACGATCATATGAATGTTAGTAATATATCGCTCAGAAGCTCAGGCAGACGGGCAAGGTAGCCTCAGGAGGTCAGGGCTCAAAGTGTCAAAAACTCAAAAACAAAGGAGCAAAAATCAAAACTGGATAAACCCATATTGGGAATAGAACACTGAAACACAGAGAGAAAAGAGATATATGTAAAAATACGTGACTTTTTTTTTTTTACCTCTCTTGGGAACATCCTGTAGCAGAGACAGCAAAGCTTGAGTGTCAATTTTCTTCATCTCTTCACATCTGGAGAACAACACAAGAGGTGGAAAACAATCCAAAAAAAGTCATCAATGACGCAGACACTGCATCCTTTTTTTAAAAAATACTTAAATAAACAGCACCTGAAACATTTTTAGTTCATTCAAGAAAAAAAAAAAGAAAATTAATATACATTTGTTATAAAGCATAACTGATATAATTACAGTGGGCTTTAAAAAAAAAAATTAACAGCACCTTTCAATATTTTCAATATTAGCAGGCTACCCAACCATCAACCCCTAAAAAGACATTGATGAATTAATCTCTGTGAATACAATTAGGGTACCTAAACACTCTACCACCCCAGGATTCTTGTGAATATGCTAGGATGTCGCTTAATTGTCAAAGATTCCTGCCAATAAGTTGAGACAGACATGTTGCTTGATTGGGTCAGTGGAACAAAAAGGGAATCCCGCGGAAACATCTAAGACAAAAGCAATCGTTTAAAAAAGTGAAAGTAGCATATCGCACCAGTGCACCCATCAACCACCCACTCTCACACCAGTGCACCCATCAACCACCCACTCTCACACCAGTGCACCCATCAACCACCCACTCTCATAACACAGTGTATCCGTCAACCACCCACTCTCATAACAGTGAAATATAATGAGCTTGACAGGTACAAAACACCAGCAGCTGTTTCAACAGGGACAGCAGAAGAAGAAGAGTGGCAAGACACGTTCAACTCACAGAGTGGGGTCCCTCATGGCCCTCTGCACCAGCTCCACCAAATGTTCTGACAGGTCCTCCAGCAGTGGCTGCTTGTGCATGTTGACAAACTGTTCACGGCAAACCTGGGGCGGCACCAAACAATACAGTTACTGACCACATCTAAAGATATGTGATTATATGTATATATATATGATATGTGTGTTATGACATGGTGTAATCAGGCACTCATCAATTTTTGGGCATGTGGAGCTATTGGCATCATCTTAAAGCTTGTTCATTTATCTTGCTTTCAATTTAAAAAAAAAAAAGTACCCATCTATCTTAAATAGAAGTCGAGATATTTGCGATTGAAGGAGGTGTGGATTGCCTGGTTTCAGAGGTAAAATTAGCAAGAAAATGGTCACCAAAATTATGTAACTTCCATAGCTTGAAAGTCCTTTGAAACTGAAAATGTTAATTTTTTTAAAAATTTTGTGCCTTATTCAACATTTTTTAGTCAAATCCACCCAAATACAAATGGACATATCGATAAAAATGGCTAAACTGGTGGAAAAATGCTGGTTTCTTTGATTTCAATATTTTAACAAGTGCCTCATTTCACCATGATGCCTCACATGTTATTTAACTCATTCGCTACGTATTATTTTCGGCTTGTAGACGAATTTTTTTTCCGGAGAGCGAAAGAGATGATGACTAGTGGGCAGTTAAAAGGTCTTTGGGGCCACAAATTCAAATAAATATCAAGGTATTATACACCAATATTTTCAGTATGGTTTGTAGAATACATCTGTAATGTTTATTTATGTATTTTTCAACTTTGGTTCCTGTAAGAGACGATTGTGCAACACAGTTTTGATTGGATGCGGATAAAATTTGAAAATAAAAATGTTTTAATCTTTGGTGAAACTCAAAAAATATGTTTGCACCTAGTCAAATGATACATCAAAATAACCATAAATGAATATAGAACTGGAAAATATTGAAAAGTTTGCAGTTATTTACCTACATTCCATAATATTTGTACATTTTGAACATAACATCCGATATTGAAAAAAAAAAAAATTTTTATAATCTTGAAAAACGATCACAAACAGAAAAAAACCTGCTCGTATCTTATATGGAATTATTCAGAATTGCATTTAGAATAAACCTATACATGTCTTGAGTGGCACTTTTGTGTAATTTCATCAAAAAGTAGTGATTTTGGGGAGAAAAACATATTTTGACTATTTAGATCTAGACCTAGATCTAGCACTCAAAAATATTGATTTCTCAATAACAGTGCATTGGCAATATGAGTCCAATCGTATCAATATTATAAAAAAGAGTCCTACACTTCTTTAGTGGGCAAAATAATGATAGATTTTGTTGTGTAAAATTACAAAAACTGGTGTCCGGGCTGTAATTTTGGCATCGCGATAAAACAAAGTCGAATTTTACACATAATATGTAAAATGCTGGCTTAAAAAATATATAAAATAAAAGATCAGCTTATTTCATATTAGAATAAAGTTAAGCTTGGAATTATTTTTCATCAATCCTTCCGCGAGACTCAGAAAGCATGTGACCCAGCACGCAGGGTACAGTACAGTTAAGCCGACTCGCTCACCGCGGGGCCCGGTGCGGCGCCGGCCGGGTCAACATTCTGTGTTTTTGTCGAAATAACGACAGATCATCGTGTTTGAGGCGATAAAATACTGATTTGTAATGATCTCACAGTCTTGAAAAAAATTAGGCTCCATATATTTGTTATAGTCATTGTACTCCGTTAATGTGGAGATGTTTGTACCTTTTATTGTCTGTCAAACATGGGGTTGCAGCCAGTGACTGACTTTTAACAAATTTGATCAAATTTTAAACAACTACCATTTTCTTAAAAATTGACTGAGAGGTTAAAGAATGGTACCAAAATGCTCAGTGGATATAGGCCTTTCAAATGGAACTGATAAATTTGGCATACAGCTACTTTGAAAATTTAGTTTCTGGTACCTAGTCGAATAAACTACGAAATCGCGTTTCAAAACTGAATCTAAATTTCCGATTTTCAGTGGAAATGCTTGACCCGGAAGTCAACATTATATTATGACCTATGACCTTTATTTTAACATGGAAATGTGGATTGGAATAGAATCTAAGCTAAAATTGAAGATCGGTTCTCGCGCCGCCGGGGGCGGCTTAGCGTACTGACAGCACTTTAGCCGCGCCGCCCCCCACGGCTCGGCGTAGCGAATGGGTTAACAATTCAACAGTCTTCTGACGCCTAATTATTAAGCTGGTTAATGGGTGGTCAACATATGTATGAGTTTACCCTGAACACAAAAGGAGCATGATAAAATTGTTACCTTTTTTTTTCCATCATCCTCTCTTTAAGTGCCAAATCTGAAATTGGCATCAATGAACATGATTCCCAACTCACTTCTCTGCTCCTCTGCTCTAAACAAAATTCTATACAATCTTGGTCTTTTCTCATCACCCATCAGTTCAATTCTTTCTGTAAATTATTCTTGCTCTCCTCTCTCCTCCTTCACTTTACATGTAGTGGGTTTAGTTTAGTCTTTAGAAGAGTTTTACGACACTTGCAACACAAACAGTGCGAAGATAATTTATTTTTTTTATAGTAGAGGGTTTTACGGTGCTCGCAACTGCATAAGGTCATATGAGCGCCATGGGGTGGGTGTCAACAGAGAAGTCTTTACAGGGAATCAAACTTTGACCGCTCACCTCTCTAGCTTCAACAGCACAAGGTCTGCTTCGACTATCCAAGGTATCCCAAAATAGCAGGTTACAAGAGAGTGACAAACATACAAAAGAAGTAGAGGAAAATGACAATAGTAAGGATCAGGAAAGAAAAAGCAGCAGTTCCCTGTTGAAGATCAGGTACAGTTATGAGTGTGACATGAGTCAGCCCATTTACAATTCTACTATGCTTGAACGAGAAATGTCCCCCCTTTGGGAATGGCCTAAAGACACTTCAGTCAGTGGCACTTCCCCAGGGGGTTGCGAAGATAAGAGGTGTTAAATAGAAAGTAATGTACGAAGAAAAGAAGGAGGGATAAGGACGATAGATGTTAGAAGGGAAAGAAAGGGCAAACCCCATCAGAGCAGCTGCCAGCCAACCACACGTTGTGGGGGTCGCGTAATGTCATGTGTGAGTGAGCACACGTCTCCTCACCTTGTTCATGACGGACACATCACAGGCGTGCGTCCAGTAACAGTCGTGGACAGAGACAAACGTGATCCCAGCGCTGGAGCGGACAAGATCAAAGGTCATGGGGTCAGATACACAGACAAAACTCTATGAAGCTAAAACTTACAACTTTTACTTACACTTACACTTACTGCCCACAGTAAAGAAATGTTAACATTCAGTATAAAGCTATACTTCTTGCACACAGAGGAGAAAAGTTAACATACAGTATAAAGCTAAAACTCAATGCACACTGCAGAGAAATGTTAACAAACAGTATAGGGCTATAACTTACTGCAGTTACAGTTGAGAAAATGTTAACAAACAATACAGTATAGAGCTATAGCTTGCTGCATAGAGTAGAGAGAAGTTGTCATACAAGAGCTATAACTTACCACACACAAAAGAGAAACATAAAGTATTAATTAAGCTATAACCTACTACAGACAGTAGAAAGATGTTGACATACAGTACAAAGCTATAACCTACTGCATACAGTAGAGATATCAACATACAGTATTGAGCTGTAACTTCTTATAAATGGTAGTACAGTAAAGAGATGTTGTTAACATACAGCGCAGAGCTAAAACTTACTGCATACAGTAGAAAGATGTCAACATATAGAACAAAGCTAAAACTTACTGCATACAGTAGAAAGATGTCAACATATAGAACAAAGCTAAAACTTACTGCATACAGTAGAAAGATACTGGCTGTCCCCGTCGTTTTATGCAAGAAAAATTTTGAAATTATGCAAACTGAGCCCAAAAATGTTAAATTATGTGATTAAGTTAATTTTAACAGAGAATGATAAAGGAAAATAATCAGAAATTATGCAAAATATGATCAAATTTTGCTGAATTCTGCGGGGTGCATAAAACGATGGGGAGAGATATAGAACAAAGTTAGAACTTACTGCATACAGTAGAGAGATGTCAACATCATATGTGTGGAGTCCAAGGAGTGGATGTAGTTGGGAGGAAATGCGTTCTTCTGCTTCAGAGTGTTGGGTTTGCTAGGAACAGAATGAAAAAACAACAACTGGTGATCAACTTTGTTCAATATTGTCATGTTCACAACACGCACTAATCACTCAACTGCAGGGCTGGTCAGTATAATTGTAGGATCATCACAACATGGTACACAATGCAGGAATACACACTACTTTTTACTGTTCAGAATTTTAAAAGTCTTGTTGAAGCAGAGTATGAAATTTGAACATTTACTGAAGTTAATTCAATTTGAGGATACTTCCTGTATACATGCACGTGTAATAGATTTCTCCTAATACCAATGAAAAGGTTGAAAGAAACCATTATTACAAAATAATAATATCAGATAAAGTAAAGCAATATGAACACGCCATAATTGAAAGCTTGGCTTTATCTTTCTTAAAAACTGTCTTACTAGTTCGAGTGGAGGTCAGCAACTGACAATAACACAAAGGTGCACTTCTTCTTTTCCTTGTTCATCTTTAATGGACATCCCAGTCTCTAGTGGCTACCGGACTCGTAATCGTAAGGTTGCGGGTTTGGGGGTTCGAGCCGTGGGCCAGACGTTGTGTCCTTGGGAAAGGCTTTTAACACAAATTTTCCCCACTTCACCCAGATAAAAATGGGTACCGAGCTACAGACAGTGAAAGATTTTGTCAGTTTGTTAGGGTTTGAGCGCATTACCAGCTGTTTGCACTGTATGCTTCCCGGGAAGCTGAGAATGTTTCTGAGTGTTCTATGGTCTGCTGGGGTAATAATATAGTGCAAAGCGCGTAGAGCTTACTTTCGAGTGGGGACATGCTCTATACAAATGCTATTTATTATTATTATTAGAGCGAAGGCTGCTGTTCATCATAGGTCATCCAGGCCCCTGTAGAGTCTAGAGTCTCTCTGCCCAAGGTGGGGCCAATATTTCTTTCTAAGCATCCAAAGGTGAACCAGCGGACACTGGACACTGCACAGCCACACAACACTGTGGGCGACACTCAAAAATGCCGTGACAGACAAGACAACAAGTGAACAGCAATGCAACAGGAGAAACAGTACCACACTTCTCTTCACTCAGCGATGAGTGTGTGTCTCACTAGCAACAATATTACAATCCTTCTCTGCCTCCCTCCACCAGTCTAATAATGTTGAGGATAAGAGTATATTATGATGTAACAGCAATCATTCTCTACTTACTCCCCTAATGTGTCTGCCAGGTCCTAAAATCTATACCATCCCCTTGTGGTTTGTGTCTATTTTTTTACAATCTCTCGCGTGTTTGTGTCTATTTCTTCCCCCATCCTTCTGTTGTTTGCGTCATTTTTTTCTCCATCTCTAACGTCTTTGAGTCCATTTCTTCACCATCCCTCTTTTGTTTGTGTTTATTTCTTCACCATCCCTCTGTTATTTGCATCCATTTCTTCACCATCCCTCTTTTGTTTGTGTTTATTTCTTCACCATCCCTCTGTCATTTGCATCCATTTCTTCACCATCCCTCTTTTGTTTGTGTTTATTTCTTCACCATCCCTCCTTTGTTTGTGTCTATCCCTCTGTTGCTTTTGTTCTGTAGTCTCACATTTTTTCAAAGCACTATGCGATCGCCAAAGTGTCGACATAGTTCTCATTTATCAAAAAACCTCTTCCCTCACTTTGACAAATGTTACCTAGCCTAGCCCATCGACACAACTACTCACAATTTGTCCTGTTTTGGATCTCCTTTATGAAGTTTCTTGAAGTAAGGCTGTAACACGGGAAATCCAAGCGGCGTCTGCCAGTCCACAGGGAGGACAGCCGAGATCTGCCGCGCCGCCTCTGTCAGCCAGTCCTGAGAGGAGGGAATCACAAAAACCCAGTTAGAGACACATAGTGTTAAAACATCAGAAACATCAGATTGCAAGACAACAAACACATGAACATCCAGTGGGACTGGTTTTAGTGTAGTGCATGTGATCATCATCACCAGCGCCTTTCTCCCCCTGGATCAGGGTATAGGCCATGACCAAACACTTTCCACCTTTCCTTATCCTGGGCTAGCGACTTGATATTATTCCATGTCTTCACATTTTTTTGTACAAGATCAATTTCTGTGACTCTTCTCCAGGTTCCACATGATCTTCTCCTTGATTTTTTACCCTGTGAATTTCAATCCAACACTTTCTCCTTGTTATGTAGCTGCCCTGAAACTGAGAGTATGTCCAATCCATCGCCACCGCCTTCTTCCCCTCTGATCTCTGACACTGTATATGTGATAAAACTCTCTAATTCTCAACTGCAAAATCTGGGAAATTCAGGACATTTAGCAAGCCTGCCTGTGTATAGAAGATCTAATCTACCCTCACACTGCGTGCCTGATGTGAAAAAAGAGAAGATATACAGGGGGGAAAAATGCACATTGATACACAAACTTTGAGTCATTTGCAGGAATAACTAATTCAGAGAATCTGAATCTGCATGTTTAGAGACATTTAATAAAGATGTGGTGATCAAGAAAAAAGAATACATAAACAAGATTATTCTTTCGTCTTTTAACTCTCAGCAGTTCTTGGTATTTTGACCATTTTCGCCTTCACGGCACCCATGGTTAGTATGATTTACCATAGAATATAAAATAACACAGAAAGTATGTCAAATTACATACCATTGGAAAGGAAATTGAATTTCCTATCAAATGAAGGTAATTTCATCATGATATGACCACTGTTGTCTATGTAGTGCTCTGTTATTAGAGGGAGGGACAGGGGAAAAAAAGATAAAATTTCCCAACATGTAACAGTCACAAAGAAAGAAAAAAAAAAGTGTTCTAAGATACCCCAAAAAGTTTATTATGGAGTAAAAGCACTTCCAATTTTGCAATGTGTGTCCAAATTTCATGCATATTGAAAAAAGGATAAAAAAGTTACAAGGTTTTTGACAAAAGATACATTTATCATGTTTCGCGATGAAATAACGACGCGACATAGAAAAAATAAACATCAATGACTTTCCAGTCAATTTCCATCCACAAAATTGCACTCAAAACAGACAAGGCAATACCAAATATTTCAAAATGACAAGAACACACTGTATTCATACAAAATACCAATACCAACAGAGATTTTCATGGAAAAATAGACAAAAATATTGTAGTACGGTACTTTACATCATTGTGGTCCATGACGGAAAAACATTCTACTCCCCCTCCCCACAGCGGTGCCACTGACTGAAGTGTCTTTAGGCATTCCAAAAGGGGGGACATTTCTCATCCTAATGCACAATAGAATTGTAAATGGGCTGATCCAACAATGTCATGCTCATAACTGTGCCTGAACTACAACAGGGAACTGCTGCTTTTTCTTTCCTAATCCTTAGTATCGTCATTTTCCTCTACCTCTTTTGTAAGTTTGTCACACTCTTGTGACCCACTATTTCCGGGGTGCCATGATAGTCAAAGCAGACTTTGTGCTGTTGAAGCTAGAGAGGAGAGCAGAGTAAGTCTGATTCCCTGTAAGGACTTCTCTGTTGACATCCACCCCTTGGCGCTCATATATGACCTTTTGCAGTTGCGAGCGCTGTAAAACCTCTCCTAAAACAAAAAACATTTTTCTACTCAACTGTCCAATAATTGTAGTAAGTGGCAAAAGACTATTCTACAGTATGCTCTGCAAGCAAACAGTTTCTATTTTTATTGAAACAAAAATATCCAATAGTGTGCCCCCATCCTTCCCTGTGTAAACTTCATAATTGTATGTGTACCCATTCATCGAATCTGCAACCACCCGTAACTTCATCCCCCATTTAGTTATCCTTTATGTATTGCCTGAAACTGTATCTCCCCTTATTTTGAACCATCCTCTCATCTATGCTAACACACTGGTTAGGTTGCCAATACTTCATACATTTCATACTCAAAAAATAGTGCACAAACCTAACTTTCCGTAGCTTATCAGTACCTCGCTCAGTGTCTGGATTGCATAATTTTAAAAAAGACTGAATTTGTTTGAAATTTAGTTTGCTCATGTATGCCCTTGCCCATAGTCCATGAAAACAGGTTTTCGTAGACCAGTACAGCTCTAAATTTGGTAGATGAACAATAGACATATACATTAGCAGTCCAACGAACTTGAGAAACATCTCAGAGTCAAGATCCTCCCAGGAGCGAAAGACAGATGGTTTGTTGGGTCCTGTCATCGGGGCGTACTCATTAGAGAAGAGGCAGATCTGATTCACCATCTCAGTGCAGAAAAACAGTTTGAAGAAGGATGCTGAGGAAATAAGAAGACAAGAAGAAGACATAAGTTACATAAGTCATTTGGAAAGGATAGTCTGCTTGGAACACTGACATCAATCGAACTGTCAGAAAATCCTGGCCCACAAGGTAATATCAGTTTTAACTACATAATGGCATCAAGAGTGTTTTCTACAAATGAATAACAAAGGTCCCCAGGTGTAACATGTGAATCAGTGAACTCACCTGCCTGTCGGAGTGAAGTAAGGGCAAACAGAAAGCAATTACAAAAATAAAAATTTCTCGTACTCCGTGCAATAATGCTCTCACCTGGCGTCAGAAAACTTCGGATGTCCTGTCGGGTGATACAGTCAGGGAGATGCAGGCCAACAGCACGGCAGGCCTAAACTGAGGCAGTGGTTCTGGTGGGCCATCATCCTGGTCCGCGTAAGACTGGTTACGTGGAGGTTGTGGCTAGTTTCTGAGGGAAGAAAATAAGCAAAGGATTAGGACGCTATCGGCGGAGTCGAAGTTGACATGTTGATAAGGCCTATGTCATAGGCACTTATTTCTAGATCTAGATCTAGATCTAGACAGAGGCAGACCTTGAACAAAGCTGTTCTGTCATTATCATCATATTATCACAATGATAAAATCTTAGCAGGGAATAAGGCTACTGTACACGGGTGAGGTGTAAACAAAAACAAACTTCCTGTTTGAGGAATTGCTGTGTAAACAATAACATGACAACCGTAGCTAGGCACATAAAAAAGTTAATTAAAATTTTTTAGAGGCAAACCATGCTTTCACAACTTCAGGTTACCACAAATAACTATTCTGTAAGCTTGAAGTAACAATACCAGTGGCCTAAACCCACTAGAATACATGTTATAGGCTTTCTTGTGCAGAGGCAGGATGTAAACAAAACACTAACCTGTTGTTTTGATCACGATTGGTCAAAGTCGGGGCTTGGTTTCCGTCCTCGGGACCCTCATCGTCCGATTCTGGTACCCAGACATCAGATTCTTCATCCATTGAGTCATTCAGGTCAATATCAGACTCATCTGACGACATTTTTACGCTTTTTTCCGATTTTTAGTGTAGAAACTTCACAGCTGGCCTTCTCCCAAAATCCAAAATGGCGGCGGAGAGAACGTAAACAAACGCTGATTTTCCGTGCACCAAATTTTTACAATATTTTATAAATTATGATTATTTTTATGAAAAATATATAGATTCAACCCTTTTTTATGATAAAAAAGGTATTAGAAGCATCAAAATGTAAAAAGGAATGGATTTCTGCCGTTAGATCTACACCCGATGCTCATCGTACGAATTCGTACGATTTTCCTTTCGGTGAACTGCTGAGAGTTAAAGAAACTGGGGTTCTATTAAATTCTATTTCAAAGGATGTGATATCCCCGGAACAAGCTTTCACCCTAACCACATAAGATATTTTGAGACTACAAAATTATGCGCTGACAAGTGAATACCAAAAAAGATAGACAGTAAAGAAAGAGCACTCTGAGAAACAGACAGACCTGTCCAAACCATGAGAACAATACAGCGTGTTCATACAAATCAGCTGACGTTTTTAAGTGGCAACACAAGTTAGGCAGAGATAAAAGCAATTCCCAGGATACTTGAATCAATATAACCTTGAATGTCTTGCCCTCTCTCAAAAGTGAAGGAAGAAGAAGACGGAGTAAGAAGAAGAGATAGAGGAGGAGAAAAGAAGAAGCACAACAGTACAACTTACCTGAATGTCTTTTGTAGCTGTGAACATTTCTCTCAAGCACACGAAGGTTCGGTCTGTGAGATACAGGCTGGCTTCCCATGCCTTCTCTGTGGGGAAGTCTGGTATGTCTTTGAGCTGTCTGTGGATCTGTAGCTTGGCTCCAAACTTGGTCACTCCGTACACAGTGGTCATGATGGTCTGTTTAATGACCTGTGAATACGAGAAATATTTCACTTATCGAGACGGTTCACTCTGATCCCCGAAGTGCACCTCAGGATCCAGTATTCTGAGACACTATCAAAGAATTTTGCACAGGCCTAAATAAAGATAGCAGTACTGGAAAATAGGCTTTCTTTTCAAATTTGAATTCCTTATCATCTCCAAACACTAACTAAAAACTTTCACTCAAAAGCAATCCACAATTTTCTGTCAAGAAACATAAGGGCATTTTATACAAGTTTTAAAAATTATTTTTTTCACTCTACCAGAGGACACAGGTAATAGTTCATTTGATACAGTTAAACACTGTTGGTATTAGATCCATACACAACCAGCTGCTATCTATGTTGTATTATAAGAGATAAAACTGTCACAAAGGCAGGTCTACCACCATGAAAGAGGCTGGGTGACTGGGAGAGGACATGTGAGAGAGGGAGAGAGAAAGAGAGAGAGAGAGAGAGGAAGAGAGAGAGAAAGAGAAAGAAAGAGAGAGAGAAAGAGGGAGGGGGGGGGGGGTGCGCGTTGAAAATTGTGTGTAAGCGTGTGAGTTTACAAGTGTTTTTATAACTGTGTCCATATGATGCAACTTGTGTATATTTGATGCTGCAGAAGTCTTTAAAGAAAATTACAGTCTTCCTTTAAAGGCTCAGTAAAACAAATCAATATGATTTTTTATCACTGCAAACAGTTCTTCTCATACAAACCTTTCTCTTGATGAAACCATCCAGAATTTGGGCAATTTCAACATCGTTTTCTGCATCTTTCTTCCTTTCTCGCTCCACCTGCAGACGACAGAGTGAGTGAATGAGGAATGTTGAGTCTGTCTGAGTAATGGAGTAAGGTATACAAAAACGCAACAGTTAACACAACTTATGCTGGTACAAATATAGAAAACCCAAGTTATAGCAGGCACAGAAATTAGGCAGTGTTTTCTCAAGATGTTATCAAATTAATGTACTGACATTGCCCCAAAACTGAGCCAACTTTGTACTGCAACAGCTAAGCATGGGAGGAACATCTCTCCCCCCCCCCCTCACCCCTCTCTCTTTCTCTCTCTCTCTCTCTCTCTCTCTCACTCTCTCTCTCTCTCTCTCTCTCTCTGTCCATCTCTCCCCCCCCCCTCACCCCCACCCACACAGCCACTTACCAGTTCCACGACATCACTGTAGACATCCTGCGGTATATCAAAGGGATGTAAATTGACTGACTCTGCTCCTGCCTGGTCTCTGCCAATGGCCGCATAGTGCTGGAGGCCATTACACGAACCGTCCTGGGTGGAACAAAAACACATTCAGACTATTTCCTCCAATCAAACACTACCCGAAACCAATTCTTAAGTTGCAGTTTTGCGATGTTTTGCTCTAACCGTGTAACAGATTCCTTCAAAAAATTTTGAACAACCAAAAGAAAAAAGAAATCATTTCCATCTGAAAGACTAGAGAAAGTCTCAAATGTTAGCCAATAGAACTTCCACAATATTTATAATGCATGTTGACCCTCACTTCACCCCCTAAAATACTTCTTATAGAACTTACGCTTGCATTTAGACGTTTTATTATTAAATTTCTTAAAACCAAAATTATGTGTCATGATGTGGTGGAATCAGGCACTCGTCAATTTTTGGAGATGTAGGGTTATTAGTATCACCTGAACGCTTATTCATTTGCCTTGCTTTCAATTTAAAAAATATCCATCCATCTTGAATAGAAGTCGAAATATTTGCGATTGAAGGAGGTGGCGTCGCCCGGTTTCAGAGGTAAAATTACCGAGAAAATGGCAACTAAAGTTTGGTAGCTTCAATAGCTTGAGATTCTTTAAACTGAAAAATTACATATTTTGTGCCTTTGATAAATGTTTTTCAGTAAAACTCACTTGGAAATGTATTTTTATATAGACACAAAAGGTGTTGAGCCAAAAAATGAAAATTCGACGAAAAGTGCCAAAATGACAGAAAAATGATGTTTCTTCAATTCCATTATTTTGACGAGTGCCTGATTTCACCACGCTGCCTCACATATTCTGCCTGGTAAGATGGAAGAAACAACCCAAACACAGTAAAGTCTAAAAAACACCAAATCTAAACATCATTGATTAAAAGCACTTTTTTTCCACCCACCTGATGCACAGGGAAATGGCACACATAGTCCTCAATGTTTCCTTCATGTCTGGCAATCTGAGCCAGCTCCATGCAACAGGCCAGTGTCTGCCATGGCTCATCCGACTGTTGCCACCACTTCCTGCCCTGAGAAAATAACCAAAGGTACAGTCTAACAGTGTCACAAACTCCACACCAGAGACAAGCTGCAGCAACAGCACAAAGTCACAAAGTCCACAATGCAGATCAACAATAGCACTGGCACAATCAAAAACACAAACTCCACACAATACAAATGGGAATATTTTTTTGACTTAAGTAAACCTATTGAATTTGGTTCATGACATTAAAAAAACAACAACCAAAGTTAAAAACTCCATTACTCTCAAAGATTCCAAACATGGCATTTCAGAAACTTGTGACTGATGGCAATGCCTATTTACTTGTGGATTTGATTGACTGTTTTTAGAGGATTTTATTTTAGGAAAACCTGATTATAAACTCTTGAATATTTGCAATGTCGTTTTGAGGTAAAACTTAAACAAAAAAAGCAATAGAACTTTTCTCAGTTCTAATGGGCAAAAATGTCTATTTGTTCAACCAACTGTTTCATTAATTTAAAATGGAAACTCTAAATAAACAAAGTTAACAGTTAATCTGAAAAAATCAGACGTAAATGTGACCTGCTCCATGTTAATTAGATGAGCTATACTATATTGATAATTTTTGCAGGCAGAAAGACCTTGAGTCATTTTCATTTAGATTTCAAAACAACAAATCTTTATAGTAAGACAAAGTTTACAAAAAAGCTTATAAAGTAAAGTTCAGATTATTACAGAAAGTTAGGTCCCTTATTGATTTAAACATACAGAGCAGACCAAAGCCTCTTACTGTCAGTGGGTGATCAGCAGAATCTAGAATATCTTCCATAATGCTATCCGCATACTCAAGTCGCTCTTGGTTCGAACACCTGTAAAAAAAAAACACACAGATCAAACCAAGATATATATATACACACACTATAATGATTATTTTCAAAATTCAGAAGAAAAATGTAAAAACACTTTTGATGTTATAAAACCAGGAGAAAATTGTTTTATATATGTAAAAGGGGAAAGACAAACCTACAAAAGATCATTGACAAAGTCTTCAAAGTTACATTCTTATTTAATTTCAAACAATCTATTTTTTAGTTATAACTTATTAAGTCGATCAGAGCAAAATTTAAGAATAAACAATAACATTATTACCACACCATTTGATGGAATTAGAATTTTCGCCCCTCAACTCTATAACAGAAGCTCATAATAAACAAAGATTTTTTTTAAAACACAAGAAAACACTTTTTATTACAAAAGAAATACCTAAATAGACAATTCATTAGGAATATAATTGTTTAGAAAATTTTTTAAAAAGGGAAAATCCTGTCATAAATGTAGGCCTACTCCCATGGGCCATAAAATAAAAACTTATTCGCACATGCACACAAATACTCCTAATCTCTAATACTGATGTACACGCTTACAGAAAAACCTATTCCTAAACACTACACCGACACATGGAAAAATGTGACTGTGGGATGGCAATAATAAGATGTGAGAAAAGGGTAACACCAAAATCATGCAGTGTATGAAACAAACCTTTTCTTCAGGCCCGTGAGGTTGATGAGGTGAATCTTGAGCCAGTCTAACCCTTTGTCTCCGAGAGGTTTCCCTTTGGCAAATAGCAACATCCCACGGACATTGTCACTGCCTGTATACACGCAGGGGAAAGACAAAGAGGAAGACTTAGACCATTGAATAATAACAGCCAGTAAACAGCCTCAAAATTAACAAGAGCATAAGAGAACAAAAGTACCGGTATTCATGCTAGATCTCAGGGGTGGTTAGCTGCTGGTTCTTCAACCTGCAGTGAACTGATTTTTATGTATGTCACCATTTTCTCCTACTTCTTTGGGCTCCTTGCCTTCAGGCAGCAACATTCCCATTTCGAAGGACTCAGATTTTGTTCCTTCACACCAACTAGAGTATTTTCAGTTTTGGTAGGAACTAATGGACATTAATTAAGTGGAGGGAAAATGTAATACAGTCCACGCCGGCTTTAAGCACGCCGGCATAAAGCACGTTTCGGACTCAAGCACGCTAAACTGCTCTTACCGAATTTTTGCTATATAAACTACACGCCTTTAAGAACGGTAACTTCGGCTTCAGGCACGCTTCATTTACAAGACAGTCAATAGTTTTATGATGACCCATCGAAGTTTGAACACAGTCTACCCCTCAGCAGTGAGTGTGTTATTAAGAGAAACAAAAACAGCGCAAGTTATGGACACACACACATGCGCAGAGAGGAAGCCAGAGAGATGCATACAGCCACACGCAAGGACATAGGATCTCGCCTAGGGCAAAGCTACACACACAAAAAAAAAAATTTTAATACAAAGACAGTCAGGGAGGTCAGAAAAGGAGGCAGGCTGCAATTTCACCTTATAGCCCCTCGCTATCCGATAATCCTGATTTGGTATCACATGCGAGGTGGGATCAAAGACCGTATTTGGGGGGTGAAGGTGGTGGTATGAATGTGGTACAGCGTGCAGTGGTACGCACAGGCAATGTGTAGGCCGCATGTGCTGTATCGTGACAGGTCGTCCAAATTAAGTTTTTATTTCCCATTCGACCGCAAAACAAAACAAACAAACAAACAAATGAAAACTACCATGGCGGGTAAAAATAACAGAAATAACAGTGCTCACTTTTGCAGGACCACTATAGGCCTAGATCTACCTACAAAGGGAAATGGCGCAGGAAATTTTCTACATGAAAATCTCTGGATTATATCTACTTCGCACTCAAGCACGCTTCGGCATTAAGCACGCTTCAGCTTTCTCCCGATGACCGCGCTTAAAGCCGGCGTGGACTGTACAGGTGCACAGAAACAACACAAAAGGAAAGAGAGAAAAAAAAAGGGACTAACCAGCCCCGTACAGGCATTTATATTTACCTAAGTGGTTGAAATGAGGTGGGAGTGGATATGTCCTGCCCCGGAAATCCATGGAGTGAGGAAACCAAAATGTCTCATCACGAAACTGTTGAGAAAACATAAAATTTTTAATCATTTTGCCCTGCACTTGTTTAAGTAAAGAGAAGTATGTCGAGAAAATAATAGAGCAAGGTAAATCAAGACAGACAAGCAGAAATACAAAAGAGCAAAAAGAAAAGATGTAGGGCCTATCAGTGTTGCCCTCCGTCAGCTCTGTGCCTGTGAAACTGACCACATATACAGTACACAAGCGAATACAACAAGAGTAAAATAACACTGTGAGTGGTTTACTCAAAGAGATAGAAAGTTATTTTTAGTAAAGAATGAAACAACGAAGGAAGTATTAAAAAATCTGACTAACGATCAATTAAATTTCTCCCAAGACAGATGCAAATATGGCAATGCCCAAAGTTAACAAACATGCAAATAAATTAAATTGCATGAAGACTAAAACTGGAAGTCATTTATCTTGTTAGCGATAAAGAGACTTGTATACACATAAACTATCTGTCTGTAAAGAGGACCAGTTCCACTGATTACCTCGTTAGTAAGAAATATAATCAATCAGTCTATATATAGAAGACTGTTCTAGAGATTCAATACGCATCAACTATTTGTCAGCATAAAGAAAAACAGTTCTAGTGATCCCTAGTTAACAATAGAGGCTTGAATACACATCAACTCCTTTCCTGTTTAATGAAAAACAATTACGTTTTATTTGTAAGATATAGAGAGAACATTTATGTACTTACCCTCTCAGCTATAGAGAGCCTGTACACATAAGCTGTTCATCTCTATTTATAGAATACTTTGCTAGCTATCGAGAGCCTGTACACATAAACTATCTGTCTCTTTAAAGAGGTACAACAGATTACCTTGTTAGCTATAAAGAGCCTGTTCACATATGTTATGTCTCCACATAGATTACCTTGTTAGCTATAGAGAGCCTGTACAAGTCAGTACACCACAAGCCGTGCATGTCCTGTTTCTGCTGCTGCAGCTGGATACGCTCGCGATACAACAACGCTTTCTCTTTGCTGGACATCTCCCTGTCGGGAAGGAAAAGAACGGGAGAGGTTACGGGGGAAGCTTGATTCTTGAATCTGAGTCACAATAATGAAACAATAATGAATGATGATTCCTGATTCTAACTGAGGACTTTAAAACACCAACCTCGGCTATGGGTCTACAACAAAAACAAAACAAAAAAAGAGTTGACCTGTTTCTTCAGGTGACACAATCAGTGCATGGCACCATCCATTAGGTACCACAAACTGAAATTTCAAAGTCCTCCGATTTCATATTTAACTGCACTACCTTATAGAATGTATCATTCTGAGCATTTTGATACCAAATTTATACATATAGCTTCATTTTTAACATAGTCATGAACTTCTGAAGTTGCAGGAAAATGTTACAGTTTTTTAATTGCGAAATATCTACACTTTGAGATGTCACAACATTCTTAAATTTGAAATGGACATTCACAAAAACTTGTAGACACACCCCTATGCACATAGAGAACAAGCTAAATTTTTTTCTGGGCTATCAAATGACCAGAAGATGCAAATTTATTGACGTAAACATGGCTTTTTGACCAAAACGGCAAGAAATACAAGAGGAGGTTAAAATCATCACTCGTGACCACCGGTTTATCGGCTGCGCACCGGGCCATGCTGAAGGGAAGGAGAGAGAATTTGTACCAAACCAAGGCGATGGTGCCTGCTTGCGAGCCGACGGGGAGCGTCCGGTGTTTATTTGCGTATAATGGCTGTATTATTCTTGAAGAGGAAAGAATGGGCTTTCTGCCGATATATTTACGTAGTCAGTCCGATCACTGGTTCCATAAAAAAACAGCACCGAAAGTTTTCACACGCAAATATCTTCTATTAATTCTTTAAGGACAGTCTTTAGAAATACATCACCGGAAAGAGCGTCTTCTCATCTTGAAATATTGACGAATCAGATTGCAGTATTTAATACCATACGCTCCCCGTTCCTGTTCAACCGAGGTCACTCAAAAAATCAATACACGAAACGCACAGCCGCAACAGTGAAAACCTCGATAGTGTTGTCTTTTATCCCGCAAGATTTTGCTTACAAAAGAATCGTTGATTCAAATAAATAATACCACTAAAAAGAGGAAAAGATCCTCTATCCTCTGATATATCAAGTGTCTGTGTGTATGCATGATCACACAGTGTTTTAGGAGGGGAAAAATATGGGTTTTGCCACAGGGGCGCACGGCCAGTTTGCGGTACCTACATCCCTAAGTTTCTGAGAGAGATAAACTTACGAAGTTACTGCTGGCAGAGGTGGCATTTCTGACGCAGGGGGAGAAACTTTGAGCAGGTTGTCTCCCTTATTGTTGAACAGCTGTATCTGTAGGTCAAGAATCTGGATAGGAAAGATGAGAAGAAGCAAAAATGAATTTTAACTCTTAGTATACGGTGAAACTATTCCTCTTTTGTACGCTGTCCAAGTTTTGTCATTTAGGTTTTCCAAAATTACAATCTTCACAGTTACTCTGCTCCTTTTAACCTATTTGCATTGAAAAACTGAGTGAAAATGAACAATCCGAGCAGTAATCATCCAGTTTGATTGAAGATAACATGGGCTGGGGTTTGGAACATGTTTTCTGTGACTGTAACTATAAAAGACCAAGCGATGCCTTGGAGCCAGCTGAACTGGCGTACCGTATACTAAGAGTTAGTAAGTATAAGATTGAACCAGGGAGAGCAATGTGTGTTTGTCACATGCTTAGAGTTTCTCGTAACTAGTTATTTGCTTTAACTCAAGCAAAATGTAAGTCTACTCCCTGCTTTATCACATCAAGTTTTACTTCAGCATAAGTAAGAATTTTACGCACTTGCGACGCAATAAGGTCACATAAGTACCAAAGATTAGAGGGTGACAAACACAAAAAAAGAATAAGGGGGGATAAGGATAAACCTTTGATAAGAAAGAAGGAGCAAACTACACCAGAGCATCCACCAACTGCCCACTCAGCAGCAAGTTTAGTTTAAATATTTAAATGATAGCATTTTCAGCATTAAAAAATATAGACTTCAAGCAAAAAAGAAAGTAACACTTACCAAAATTTAAAGAAAAGAATGAGCATTTGGCATATGAGGATACAATTGTAGGACAGGGCAAGTCGATATTTTTTATTAATGAGGTAAACAAGAAAAAAACTAACGCAGCATCTAGCCTGTAGACGGGCTGATTTTGAAGAGTTAATATTGTTTCCTCGTGACAGCTTATCATGACCCTCTTTACCTAGCCATAACCCACCTCAGACTTAGCTTTAATCTCATATGTGCTGGAAGTATTTTCCTTCCAAACAATAAAATAAAGCAAAACAAAAATTTGTGTGCTCAACTACTATATGGATTGCCAGGGGATGTTCAATAAAAATACAACTTAAGCACTTAACGTAGTTCAATGCTGTATTCCATCATAGGACTGAAGAGGTAATTTTAGAATGAATATGCAGTAAGTAGATCAAACAAAAAGACAATGACTGATAAAAGTAGTGCCCGTACTGGTGTATTTATCTTCCAGGCACAAGCACTGAGTGTGTTGAGGCTGTCCAGTACGGCTGAGTACTGCGTCTCTTTCACATCCTTCAGGGCGTCCACATGGTGAATGTCGTCACCAATTCGCACCAGGGCATCTGGGAATAAGCATGATCTAAGGTTAACGGCAGGGTTAGTTTAGTTTTAGTAAGGTTTTACCGCGTTCGTAACTGCATAAGGTCATATGAGCGTCAAGGGGTGAAAGTCAACAGAGAAGTCCAAATGGGGAATCAGGCTTCCTCTGCTCACCTCTCTAGCCTCAGCAGCACAAAGTCTGCTTCGACTATCAAGGCACCCCGGAAATAGCAGTTCACAAGAGAGCGACATACATACAAAAGAAGTAGAGAAGAATTATGACGATAGTAAGGATGAGAAACGAAAAAGCAGCAGTTCCCTTTATGTTGTTCCCGCACAGTAGAAGCATGACATTGATAAATCAGCCCATTTATAATTTTACTGTGCATAAGAACATGTTAATATCCCCCCTTTGGGAATGGCCTAAAGACACTTCTGTCAGTAGTATTGCCCTAGGGGGATGTCAGAGTTAAAGGTGTATGGCCAGTCAGTGAGGTCGGGAAAGGTGAAAGGGTCAAAGGTTAATGGCACGTCAGTGGAATTGGAAAAAGGTCAACGGACATGAGTAGAGCAGTGAACAGCAGTATAGTCAAACCTGCCGTGATGGCTACCTGTAAAATACGGACACCTGAAAAAATGGCCACTTTTCATTTCACCCCCTTGCATTTTTTCTATATAATTTAACTGAGTAAAATCCCCATGAGGCAGATTGTATGTTTGTGTGCACATTCACATGTGCATGTCTGACAACATTGATGTGCGTACGCATGCACATGAGAGCACAATATAGCAGAAGTATACACATGCAGGTTCCACATCCATGTGTACACTAGTCAATACACTAGGAAAATTGAATGTGTGTAAGATCAAAAGCTCACTTTAAAACATATTTCTATTAATTTGGTGCATGTGAGCATGTAAAATTGTGTATACGACATCTACATGTTTCTAAAAACACACCTCACTAGATCCCAGCAGCAGAAAAAGGATACTCTTGAAAGACAACTCGCTACACCCTAGCAACAAAACTGCCAAAGACAACTCACTACCCCCCAGCAACAAAAACTGCTAGTGTTAATTCACTACCACCCAACAAAACAAAACCCTGCCAATATTAACCCACTACACCCTAACAGTAGACAGCCAATGTTAACTCACTACACCCGAAGAGTAGCCAGTCAATATTAACTCACTAGATCCCAGCAACAAACTGCCAATATTCTTGGAGATCCAGGGTACAGGGGGGACAAGCATGGGCACGACGCCAGGGGCAAAGCTGAATGGTTCAGAGTAATCCACCTTGAACAGCTTCATGACAACGGGGTGTAACTGGGGAACAAAATAGCATCATCAGTTAAGATTTCTTTAGTTTACATAACCATAAAGCATAATTGTAGATATAAAAGTGGCAGTTGGACAACTTTTGTTTTCATAATCATAAGGTGTCTCAGATGTGAAATGGTATGGGACTAACGCCCCTATCAACACTATCAGGTTATTTAAGAGGCAGGGCCTCCTAGTTTAACGGTCGTCTCCGAAAGGACCGAGCCAAGTGGTAAATTCGTGTAAAGTGTCTTTCACAAGGACACAACGTCGGATCGAGCTGAGGCTCGAACCCCCGAACCCGCAATCTCATGATTACGAGTCCGGTAGCCTAACCACTAGGCTACCGACGCCACCAGACTCAGATGTGTCAACTGTCTATAATTTTAAGAATCTTGACCTGTTCAGATCCCGCAGAAACACAAATGTGGGGGCACAAAAATTACGTATCATATTGCTTGATACATCTTGTATCAAGAACTTAGGCAAAATCCAGACAATGTGACAAAGTTGGATTTTGGATTTATCCTGAAAAATTGGCACATCTGAAGAGTACTTTTTGCCTTCATAATTACAGGATGTAACTGTCTGTTAAACAGTAGCAAATGCATGCGTATTTGGCAATCAAGAGAGATGGAAAGGGTAAATTATAGCAGTTCACATCTAACAGTCTGCAATGCTGTACGCGGGGGGCTCTCGTGGCCCAGAGGTTAAGGTGTTTGCCTCTCATTCAAAAGTCCCGGGTTCGAATACGGGTAGTGACTGAAAAATTTTCTTCTCTAAAATTGTCTCCTTTCACCTCCTTTCCTGCTCTAAAAAAAATGTTCTGTCGTCTGCTTTAATCTCCACTTTCTGCCCCCCCCCCATCCCCTTTGCCTCCTCCTCTCGGCTCCTGACTCTTTCTGTAAGCCTTTCTACTGCTAACTCCTTGGCTCCTTCTTACTGCTATCTTTCAGCCACAACCCTGATCTTCTGGTAAGAAAGGTCTACACCTAGCCTTCTTGGACAAGGGCGAAAAATCTCGGAGGTTCCGTGTGCAAGTTGCGCACGTTAAAGAACCCTTGGAGGTCTAAAATCAATAAGAGTAGGTTTCAGCCGCCACCCGGGCAAACTTCAAAATTCCCTACCAACTGAAAACGTTTAATATGTCCCGAGCGCTCATGCAGTTGCGAGCGGTATAAAACACTTACCGAAAAAAAAAAAATGCTGTATGCTACCACAGGACCAGAATAGCAATTTGAAATAAACAAGTTGGTCAAGGAAGATATAAAGTCATGTGACTTTATAGAGCGGTAAGCAGATATACATATCAGCACGTGAACATTTTCAAATGTTCTACCCTGTGAGATCTAGCTGTTCATATATACACTGATGCTACATATCACACAGACCTTCAAACTTAAACAAGGAAAAACAATTTGAAAAGCAAAAAACATTTGTCGAAACCTTTATTTCAGCATTAGTGGTGAGAGAGACATCTGGTCTGTAGATGGTGCAAAATGCTGGCACAGGTCTCCTGGTGAGGGATTCAACATAAAATGTGATTTTGTCAGGGTGAGTAAAATTGTAATTGCAACTTACTTCTCCCCCTGTAACAAATGTCCTTTGATACAATTTAGATAATTTAGAAGTGGGCTGCTTCTACTTTGTCTGTGATGGTTAACCCAGGCTCAGTGGGATACAGCATCCCAGCAGACAGAGGAAAATACCGTTAAGTGACGGCCATTGATATTGAGCAAACCTGTATATACGCTGCACAAGCTAAAATTTTGTTTTAAAATGGACCTTGTTTCGTAAATAAACCGCACTGGTTTATAAGCCGCAGCAGATCCGTGGATCTCGAAAAGTACTCTCCCATATGTTGTACCATGTTTCTTAGACGTATGCTTAAGTGTGCTGTTGAAGAAAATATGTCAAATTTTTTATGTTTCAGATGTATGCTAGGAATTGACGGGGGAGTGACGCTCCTGCAATCTGGAAAATCCACAAATTGCCGCATTGTTACTAAAGCCATAGGTTTTTAAGCTGGGGGGAAAACGTCCAGGCTTATAATTCGAACTTTACAGTACTACATAACCATAGCTTCAATAATGTGCAATGGCGAACAGTCTAACTTCTACACTACAAACGCTGGTATCAAGTGGACAAATAGGCTACAGAATGCGATCACATCAGGAAAAGACAAACAATATTGCCAATCATATCTGACACGCTACAACATACTTCTGAAAAGAGCTTTAGAAAGAAACAAAAATATACCAAAAAAACTTGAAATTACACGCAGATTAAAACAACAAAAAATTGCTGTTGGAGAAAAAAAAAACCTCCAGCCAGAATTGTTTTCAAATTCCCTGGTGTACTTTCATTCCAAAGTCAGTCTACTTCTTTACCTCAAATTTAATTTAGGTATTCATTTTTTTGCATTGCAAGAGATAAAAGGAGCGAAAAATCCAAAACATTTCAAAATATTCTAAAAACAAAAAGTGCGTGTGTATGTTTTTGTATGTCTATATGTGTGTGCAAGTTGTGTATGTTTGTATTTGAGAGTGTGTATGTGCAATTGTCTCTTTATGTGTGTATATACATTTGTGTGTGTGCGCGTGTGTGAGTGTGAGAGTGTGTGTGTGTTTGTGTGTGTGTACGTATGTGTGGGTGTGTTTGTGCATATGCGTCTGTCTGAGTGTGTATGTCCATCTGTGTGTGTATATGTATGGGGGTGTGCGCAAGTGTGCATGTGAGTGTGAGACTACTCACTGTGGGGCTCTGGGCCTCATCATGTTGGCATTGATCTTGAGGTCGTAGAGAATCATGTCCAGGAGAAACTTCCCCACCTGTAACAAACAATAACAAACTTCAGGATGAGCCAACACAGACCACAACCGATGAAAAACTATTTTTTTTAAAATAACAACCAAGAAGACAAGCTTCCGTGACATATAAACCAAAAGTTTGTGCAACATGAGTATAGTCATACTAAAAAAAAATAATTTAAAACTTCAATTTAAAAATTTTAAAAAATTTTTGAAAGACTAAATATCTACACAAGTGATTCCTGGGCATAGCACTCGAGCATCCAATAAAGCTAGAAACTTGCTTGTCTTAGGAGAGATGAAAGAGCTGCTAGTCTCTTGCCAACTCAGCACAGGGTACACGCAGGCAATCAGTGAGAATGCATTCTACAAAGTATTCCATAACAATTTCCTAAACTGCCCAAAGAATGAAATGCTTAACCTCGCCAAAACTGGCTGAAGATTTGACTTGTTTCTCTTATAGGATGTTCCCAATGGCTATGATAAAAATAAATCTCTGATATTAAGCTGTAGCCTCATTATCATTTCTTGTGAGGAAAAAGTATCGGATCTGGCACGGCTGTCAACGTATATTTGTCATGCAGCGTGGTTAAATCAGGCGCTCGTCAAAAGGAAATTGAAAAAACTGGCATTTTTCTGCTAGTTTGGCAAATTTTATTGAATATTTGTTTTTCGGCTCAACAACATTGTTGTCCAATTAAGAACACATTTTTGGGTGGTTTTACTGAAAAATGTTGATTAAAGGCACAAAAAAAGGTCAGTTTTCAGTTTCCACGGACTATCAAGCTATGGAAATAACCAAACTTTGGCGGCCATTTTCTCGCTAATTCTACCTTTCAAACCAGGCGACCCCACCTTTTTCATTCTCAAATATCTTGAATTCTATTCAAGACAGATGCGCTTTTGTTAACCGATATCAAGACAACTGAACAAGCGTTAAGATGATACCAATGAATCCACATGCCAAAAAATTGACGAGCGCCTGATTCCATCGCGTCGTGATACATTTACTACTTTCGCTGCCACTCACGGCAAAAGAATGTGACCACCAAGAGGGCGGTAAGTGCAAGGGATGTTGGACAAGGGTGGCCATTGTTGAAGACGAATGTGAACAGGAAAGGGTTAAACAGTAACCACAAATGACTTAAACAAACTTACCACATACAACAATGTTTGTCACTTACCCCTTTGATCACGTACCGAGGCCATTTCTTAGGGGACATATCCTGCGGTGAGAAAATAAATAAAAGAAATGTGATGAACGACTTGTGAGAGAAACATTACCCGTATCCAAGTTATGAAAATAGTCAACTATGACGGCACACTGTTTGATGAAAAGAAAAGTCTGATGTGAAAATTGTATTTCTTTCCATATAAAGAAGGTAAAATACAAGGGGCTCAGCCCTGATGGTTACAAACGACTAAAACAAGCCAAACATCTAACTGCCAGATGTTGCTGTCCCCATCATGCTGATGCTGGGGCATCAGTGGCCTCGTGGTTAGGCTCTTGGACTCGCAACCGTTAGGTCGTGGGTTTGAATCCCGCCAGGGGCCCGACGTTGTGTCCTTGGGAAAGGCACTTTACACAAATTTTCCTCACTTCACCCAGGTGGGAATGGGTACCCGGCTATAGACAGTGAAAGATCTTGTCAGTTTGTTAGTGTTTGAGCGCTTAATCAGCTGCCTGCACTGTATGCTTCCCGGAAAGCTGAGAATGTTTCGGAGTGTTCTATGGTCTGCTGGGGTAATAATATAGTGTAAAGCGCATAGAGCCTGCTGTTGAGCGGGGATATGCGCTATACAAATGCTATTTATTATTAAAGTTCTGTTCTTTCCATATTGTGGTGTCAAAGTTCTGTCCCTACCATATTGCGGTGGTCAAGTTCTGGCCCTACAATATTGACAGTGTCAAATTTCTGGTCCTATCATGTTGATGGTGCCAATTTCTTTAACTCTACCAAGTTGATGATGTCAAATGTCTTACTCTACAAAGTTGATGGTGTCAAATTTTTTTTCCTACCGAATTGATGGTGTCAAATGTTTGTTCCTGCCAAATTGATTGAGTCAAATTTTTGGCCCTACTAGGTTGTCGGTGTCAAATTTTTGTTCTTACCATGTTGATGGTATCAAAGTTCTGGCACATGGCCCGTAGCCACATCAGTCTATGGTTGTCCAGTGGTCCAGACTCACTCAGATATTCCTCCATGTAGAGCTCGTACAGGCGAACCATCTGAAGGGAAAACACCACAAGGTGGACATGAAATATGGGCTGGGTCATTGACTAGTATTTTTTTCTAAATTTTGTCTCTTGTGTAACGATTTTGGTGCAGATATTTGTAAATTACGTAAAAATGAGCCAACATGGTACAAATTATTGTGCTTTAAGAAAGAAAAAAAAAAAGAAAAAGGGGTGTAATGATGATGAAGATATTGAAGATGATGATGACGGTAGTGATGGTGATGATGATGATGATAATAATGATGATGATGATGATGATGATGGCAGTAACGGTGATGATGCTGTAATGCTGGAAATGATGTGTGTAAATATATCTTGGTGCTGGTATAATTTTTCGTTTGGCATTTACGCTAGATCCCCCCGGGATGGAAGGACACAACCCTAACTCCCTACTCCTGCATAGAGTGACCAGAAATTTGGAAATAATAGTATATAATATCTTTGATCGTGTACACTTACATATTTCCTGTTCTTTTTTAGCTTTAGTAAGAGTTTCACAGCACATGCAACCCAACTAGGTCATGTAACAGTCGAGGATTTGAGGTGTTACAAGAGAGTAACGAACGCAAAAAAAGGAGGAGGAGAGATAAGGACAACAAATGTTTGATATATGAAAGAAGAAACATACCACACCAGAGCACCCATCAACCACCCATATATTTCTGATTCCGTGTGGAGCAAAACATTTCAGCTAAATGAAAGGCAAGGAAATACACACATATTCAACTCCAGCAAGACTGGTGCCTTGCCCTTCATTTGGATGCAATGGTGCGGCTCACGGTGCACACTCTTCACAGAAACGTTTTTATAGAGAGTGATGAGAAGCTGCCTTTACAGTGCGTGGTTTAGGAGAAGAAGTCTATGGACGGGACATACCCTTCGTCTTTATTTGTTCTATTTTAGGAATGAACACGTTGTCATTGTCAATTCGTGCCATCTTGTGCTAAGTAAGAGCAAGACAGACAGACAGGAACAACAGAGGGAGAGAAAGAAGAAGGAACTAAAATTGGCACCCTCCACCCATCTGTCTGTTCTTTGTGGACAAGCAGAGAGGAATTCAAAAATAACAACACGCAGCCACTTAGAAGACCCTTGACAAATAAAAAGTTTACCCACAGAGAGGCACCCAGACAAAGACCCAAGCTAAGTGTTATTTAGAAATAGGACTACCAGTCCTGATCAAAGAGAGTTGTGCAAAAACAACAATTTTGCACATCCATATTATATTCTATACACACTTCTTTGTTGCGTCCCTGAAAAAGATTGCATGAAATTTTAAAAAACAAGAATCTTTCCCTTTTCTTATCTCGTGCCAGATCTAAAACTGACATCACCAGTCAAGTTTCTCCACTCTTTTCTCTGTTCGGATGCTAAGAAAAAACAACACGTAATATCTTTGTCTTTTCCCGTCACTCATCTATTCAATATCTCTGAGTAAGGTATTCATGGTTTACTTAAAAATTTTTTCTGTCTGATTTTCCATTGAGCAATTACAATGATGATTTGACCTTTGCGTCCATGCTAGCAGCCAACCTAGACTCGGCCTATGAACAGATAAGATGAACAAACAAAATAGTAACACGATAACCGCAACATAGATCTGACCTTTGTGTCCATTCCAGCAGCCAGCCTGGACTCCACATTGTACTTCCTGTTGACGGCTCGGCCCATGTTGATCTGCAGCATGGCCTGTGTGGGACTGTAACCCTCTGATGAGCTGAACAATTCCTTCAGCGTCTGGGAAAAGAGAAGAGATGTTGGCGTTTTATGCTCCTTGAAATAATCCTCTAGATAGCTTGACAGATATTCCTCCAAACTGCAGACATCCTAACTTGACGCGAAATTCTAAAGAACTAAATAACACATTCAGCATTAAATTCACTGTTTTTCAATTAATTTAACAAACACGCACACACACGTACAAACACATACATGTATGTAAGTTTTCATCTTGACACCGGAAAAATTTCTAACTAACTAAAGAACAACACCTATTTGCTCAACACTTTCATCTGCAACTTCATTTCAAGACTAACTGACAAACAACACTCATCTGTTCAAAACCAAAATCGCCCAAGGCCTTTTTTTGACCAATTCATAAATGGAACATTTCATTTTCAATAGGGAGCGCCCATAAAGAAGAGGTTTTATGTGCTAAACCAATTCAATTTTGCTCTGGTCTACAAATAAAAGCATTTTCAGAACAATGAGTAATTTCCAAAAGGGCAAAGTCACTCACCTTGAAAATGATGTCCACATAGTCCTCTGGAGGGAACAGCTTCAGGTAGGGAAACAGCGTCATGTTGATGTTGTCTGAGCAGAGACAAAGTTTTATTGAACCAAACGCAAGACCCAAAACCACAGGGTAGCCCAAGAACTACAAAGTCATTTACAAATTAAATCATAATTTAGACTACCATTTGCTATGTGTTTTGAGTGTGTGTGTGTGTTTGTGTGTGTGTGTGTGTGTGTGTGTGTGTGTGTGTGAGTGTGTGTGTGTGTGTGTGTGTGTGTGTGTGTGTGTGTGTGTGTGTGTGTGAGTGCAGGTGAGAGAGAGGGCAGGGGGAGGGGGGAGGAGAATGATGAGCGATATGATATTCAACAATTTTCAACACCATCAAAGAATCTAAATACAGTGGAACTCGGATTCAATGAAGTCGTCGGGCCTGACCCTTAATTTAGTTAAATCAGAGTGTTCGTTATAGCAAACATGAGGTTTTTGTGTAGATAATTACAATCACTGTGCAAGTAATGTATAAACGGAAGTTGTGTTTCGGTGCAGAGCCTAGCATACGGCAAAGTTTGAATTCACAGACCAGCACTGAATTTATTATGTAGATGTACGTCAAGACTAGCTTATCATTGTATATTGATCATGTTGTGTCTCTGACGTTCCATGCCCAGATCACTTGAGCCCCTCCCCCAAGACAAATGCACACAGTCATACCTGTGCTGGTTGCCAGTCCGACACACGCAAAGACACATGCGCGTGCCAAAAGCACATGTGCTTGGATGAAAGAAGGCTGCTGATTGGTCACATAAGATATAAACGTTATGGGGGGAAAATGAGCAAAGCCACATCAGCGGGAACTGCTCCCCGTCAAGCGACTTTGTTGAATCTAACCTTGATCATTAACGTGTTCATTGAATCCAAGTTATTTTTACTGACTTTAATTAATAAAACAAACGGGGATTCCACCTCCTTTCGTTGAATGCCAGTTTTCGTTAATCCGAGCTCCACTGTATAAATATACTCCTCATGTCCAACCACATCCACTTCACCTACCTTGAGCTTTTTTCTCATAGCTGACTAGTTTGCTATTGAATGAATCTAAAAGAGATTTTTGCCAGTAGGATAGGATCTGGTCCTTCAGTCTTTTCTGAAAACAAAAAGTTGAAAAAAATTACTTACATTCAACAGGCCTAATAACTGAATGTGTGACAGCAGAATCCAGTTCATATGGCCATTAGTCATTGATTTTAAAAAGAGAAGAAAGTTTAGCATCTCATAAACAAACTCTACAAAGATATGAAGAAAATAGCACAGGAATACCAAACCCATAGATGCAATTCAATCAAACCTCCCATGTCTTTGCGCTTATCAACGATTACAGCCCGCTGTTTCCTGTTCCTGTGACCCCAGATTTGGATACTAGGTCAAGTCAGTTTTGAACATGGAGTCAAAGTTTACTTTTACCCACGCCTCTTGTGTCAAATGATGTGTGCTTGAAAAGATTCCATGTGACTATTTTATATATTCACTGATAATATTTTAATCCCATACAAATAGTTGTCAGTCATATAGTAATAAGAACCGTATAGGGAATATTTGGCAAAGAAAAAAAGCAAGGCATGCATAAGCCTACATTTTGAAGAATTTCTAAAATCTATTTCTAGTTATTTTCAAATGATGATCAGGCCCGACAGATTTTCTTTGGGGGGGGGGGGGGGCACAAAAGTACCCCTTTGCAATAATATGACCAATTTGATTCACAACATTGAGAAACAAACATGTTTGATTTTGTTTGTTTTCTTTAAAAGGTCAGTATTGAATTTACTTGAATTCAGTCGTAAAGTGCCATATTGGTAACTTTTTACCCATCCATGAAGGAAATTCTGGCTGGCTCTGACTCAGTCAAAAGAATTTGATAGACAGTGTGCCACAAGGTATAAGCAAAACAAAATAGAAAGTGTTCACTCACAGTCTTGGCATCAGTGCTGCTGTCAAACACTGGGGCGGATATAGAGTCCACCGAGACCTCCCCACTTTTCTCCATGTCTAGCTGACGCCACAAACGGTCCATCATCTCCTCCCGGCCCAGGCTGATGGCATACTGGTTCTCCTCAAGCCTCTAATCAGAAGACACGGAGGATGGAAAAAGAGTTTCATCACTGGGAGTGGTAGAGTGAACTGCAGTAAATCAGGAGTGTGTGTGTGTGTGAACAATCAGAGTCCAGCCATGCAAAATGTACAGACCCAAACTGCCTTTGAAAATAAATAAAAAATATCTTGAGCAACAAACACCTTGATGTTGATTGTAATTGAGAATGTTTGCACCCCCATCAACACAATCTACATCAGTTAGGAGGCGGGGCTGCTTTGTGCATGCCTGTCAGAGCCAACCTCGGCTGAGAAGGATACAACGTCAAAGCAGAAAGACAGAGATACTCGATAAAAATTCTCCACACCCGAGAATTGAACTCACACCTTCTTCATTTGATGGTGAAGAGCCTAACCGCTAAACCACCAATCTCTGATGCTGAGCAAAACGACATATTTGTTCATTTAAGTGCATGGGCTGAGCAATGAATAGAGCACACTTTTATGTTTTTGTTGTTCCATGTGAAATTTGTTATGAAGAATTCAGCATGACCATACCCTTTATCAACTAATGAAGACGACAGAAGGGTTTATGAACATATGTACAGAGGATGGTTGGGTGTAAAGACATGTGCACAGAGAGCCATGATTATGGCACTTCATCAAAGCTTGAGTTCCAGCATTCTGCAAATATGAAAATATATGAAATAGTTATGTGCTCATCTTACATATCATGGTTTGGAAATAAGAAACGCACTCACCAGATCGTTATTTTCGTTCAGGCCTCTGAGAAGCTCATTATTGTACTTGTTTATGATGGTCGATGGATTCGGCGAGAACTCTGGCATAACCAGTCGAATGGCCTACAGAAGATAGTGCAAGAGAATCATTAAAGCCTTTACTGTCACATTTTCATTCACAAGTCAGTAGTATTGTAAAATTGCTCACACAAAAATAAATGCACAGGTGTACAGCATAAAATATTATTATGGCCAACTGTACCGACCACGGGCCTACATGTAAACAATGACCTCGCACCAACAAGACAACCCATGACTGACTAGGGAGCTGAGCGGGACTCACAAGGAGCTAACCAGCCGCCCAACTCGTCAGCCATTCAAGTCAAAAACTACACAAAAGACAAGACACAAGGTAAAGAGTGTGCCCCTCCTACACAACAGACAAAAATCTATACTGAAACACAAAAATCACAAAATTTCGAGTCACTGAAAGAAAGTAAAAAGCACTTTTGGAAGGTCATTGTCGCATTTCTAGGAGGATTCTAAATTTTGTCTGAAGCTTGTTTCGATCAGAAAAGTAAGTCTCAAGCTTAAAAACATTTCACGAGGCAGTAAATATCATTTCTATTTCTGAAAACAGTTTAAAAATTGGAAATATTCATGAAAGTTGTGAAATAATTGGCAGCCACCCATTTAATTACTTTAAACCTCATCCGTAGGCATAAAGTCTGCTCTTTTTAACAGATAAGAAGCAACTTTGTACAGTAGACATTTTTATGCCTAAATCAAGCACAACCAACCTGCATCTGTGGTGTAATGGTTCAGTTCTCATAGACTCCCATCTACACAATTTAGATCATTTAGCAGTTCGACTTCTTCAACTCCACCTGTCAAGGTCAACCCAGGCTGTTTGGGATACAATATTCCAGCAGACAGACGGAGATACTCGATAAAAAAAATTTCAAACTCCTGCCTTCTGCATGCAATGGCAAAGAACCTAACAAAAACATCACAGATGAAAATATGAAAATATGAAAAACCAAGAAAGGTCACATGCTTACACAAAGCTTCCAAAAGCCCTGCCACACAGATCAACATTTTACCTGACACAAACAATAGCTTTTTTCTCTATGCTGCAACTTCTTACCCTGAGGACATAGTCCCATTCATCCAGCTCAAAGCTACAGAAGTTGGCCACTTCAGCTATGTCGAGACCCTGAGAGAAAATCCAGTACAAATAAACATTTCAACATTCAGTGATTTCCACATGACATTATTTAAATCCTATTTTACAAACTAGTTTTACTCTTCTTCCAACAGCAAGTGTGATCAGTAGCCACAGTGATTATCTTTTTGTACATGTGTTCTTCATCAGAATACAAGTGTATGTATGTATTTGGAAGGATTGTTGTATGTTGAATGGGCCAGTATAAACGGAACATTGATTTAAATCATATTTTATTATGAAGCACCTACATTGGTCTCAACACAGAATTTTAAAAAAGGAGGAACTTTCCACGTGATCCCGACAGAAGACCATTTTTGCAAGACATCCATTATTATTATACTGTTTAACCCTAGAATGCTGAAATAAAAGCCATCAATTTATCAAAGCAAGGTTATTGCATACCAGTTTGAGGGTTTGGAAGATAATTTCCATTAAAAGAGTCACCTAACAAATATTATTTACAATCTTGATTTTGTACAGAAAGTGTCGCCCCTCCCAGCAGCAGTTAAGAGGAGGAAATGGCGGTAGCAGAAATCCGCTAAGTAGTGGAATATTGAGACCCATGACCTAGAGCCACCAAGGAGTGGGTGCTATAAAAGTGATCTTTATTATTAGTATAGGATATAAGGAGGCATTGATGCCAGAACTGACAGGCTCATAAAAATCTACATCAAAATCTGCAATATAAGACACACAATTTATAACTTCCATAAAAAAGACATGGTTTGCTTGTTTTGTTTTCATCCCTTCAGTGTTGAAACTAACTATTCTCATCCATATGAAGTGTTGAAACTATTCTCGTCTGTAACAAGTGCTAAAACTCTTTTCATCCATAAGAAGTTTTGAAACTAGACTTACAACTCTCTCCACATCAGCAAGAAGTTTTTCACAAATGGAAGCATCAGGACTTTCCATTCTAGCCACACACTCAAGACATCCGGCGTAAGTTTGTAGCGTGGGCGACAGCTCTTGTTGTCTCAACATGGAGAACAGAGACCTAATGGTCGTCATGTCACCCTACAAGAGTTATAAGAGTTCGTATGAGGCTAAAAGTAAGAGGAAATGTGAAACCACAGACCAACAAAGCCAAAACAATATGGACAGAACAAACGCCAGTATTTTCCCTGTTTGCCCACTTTTAAAGAAATAAATCTTTTCTATACTTAATTATCCTGAAAGTGAATGCACTAAGAATAGAAATAAGTCGTCTTTTCTTTCCGTAAAAGTAAACATACTCATGATTACCATAAGATAAAAAATAATTAGAAAGTTTCATCACATCCAAATTTCCATTTAATCAGAATAACATTATTGGTCCCATTTTCCAGGAGAAAACATAAAACAGTAGTCATTAGTTAGTACTCTCTCAAACCAGCCACAGTTTAAGTACATGTCTCAACTGCAATAGTATTATCACTCAAGTCTTACTGACATCATGCTGCTCAATTTCAGTGATTATAATGAAATTTCTTTCTTTAACAAATATTAAGAAACTATCAAATTTGCATGACATACATTCCTCTTGTAAAAATATGATAAAATTTCCTGAAGGAGCACACAATTAAAAAGGAAAAGAGACAACCGTAACAATTTGTATAAGAAAAATAAAGCTTACTTTAACACGTTAGTTAACAAACCATATGCATTAAAACCCAGAGCTGCCAAAGTTCGTATTGTATAAAAAATTTTAAAAGACCACCCTTTCCCAAAACAGAAAGGCAAACATTTCTAACAAACCTTTTTGGCAAACACTCGGATCAGTTTGTCAAAGACATCAATTGAAGTTATCTTGTGGTGTATTGCTTGAAACTGAAGATTTCTAACAGCAGTCTTTTCCTACAAAAAAAAAAAGTATCACGGTATGAAACTTTCAATTTTGTTTTGTTTGAACTAAATTGACTAATATGAGATAGGTTCTCAGTTCATTTCAATAAGAATTTTGTGAAACTGTTCCTTTATTACAGTTCTAAATGATTCTACACTCATTTCAAAAACTGTTAAATATACAAACTAGAAACTGAAAATATAAGCTGACATTTTTCATGATTGGAAATTAATACTTTAAAAAAAAAAAGAACAAAATAACACTTACTGTTCTTTTCAATGTATGAAATAAGATTTGACTTTCGCATCACCATATGCATGTGTTAAAGCTACTTCATTGGACATTCAGCAACCGAAACAGATAGAAAGCAATTATATAGTACCACTAAGACAAAATTATTACAATTCGTCTTAGTCCTGGTGAAAACAAAGCAGAAACAAATGGAACAAAAAGAAGATATTTGATAAAACTGTTAACTCACACATCCTGTGAAGCAACTGGCTTCAACAAAAGCTTTGTCAATCAGCTCCTGAAACTCTTTGCTGATGTTTTGTTTGCCTTTTCCTTTGCCGAACTTTGAACCCCTGCCTTCTTTCTGCACAGAGCTCCTCTGTCTCTCCTGCTTCAAGCGTCGCTGTCCATCTGTTCGTTGTCCATCTGTCCCCTGTCTCTCACCCAGCGTATCCAATTCTGCCACGTACTCTTCTGACAAACTTTTCTCTCCTCTTCCAGATGGAAAACTTGCATCATCAGCTGATCTATCGTAGAGTGAAGGAACAACGTTCTGGCCATCCCTCTGTCCATCTGAGACCGTTGAAGAATATTCCAGTACATCTTTGTATAAAGATTTTGAAGAAAAAGCAACAGGCATGGGAGAAGAATAGGTATCAGCAAGATCTGTGCTGTTCACCCCATCAGTCTCAGCTGTTCCAGATATACTACTGTGTCCATCTGCTATACTATCATATTCGTCTGGTATACTGCTGTCTATCTTTGCCTGTAGACAGTCACTATCTATACGCTTAAGTATTTCAGCAGGCTGACCTTCACCAGGTGTATTTCTCATATCTCCAGAACTTCTGATATTTTCCATCACAAGCAGCGAGTCTTCGGATTGGTCTTCAACCCAATTATGAGAGCTGAGCATCTCATTGTTTTTCTGTGGGTCCCTTACTATTTTCAACTCTGCTGCAAAACGCTGAAGACTAGATTCAAATCCACTTATATCAGTGCTGGGGTTCTGTTTTTCCAGTTTTCCGTAAATATCAGAAAAAGAGAAATGTATATAGTCCAAATTCTTTCCTAATGAGGGGACAGTAGTTTCCCTGTCGTGATCCAGCTTATTGTGAGCAGGAAAAGCATCCTCTTTCCTCAGCGCTGTGATGGCAGTTGTGTCCTGTAGCTTTATATGAGGCTCAAGAGCCTCAGCAATGAAACTGCTTGACCATTTGGAAGTCTGAGAGGCTCGGCCACTGTTCCTGTGTGCATCAAATTCTGAGATAGTATCGTTGTGGTCTTGATCCAGAGCAAAGTCGTTAAAGGCATGTGTGGTAACCACCTGACGGTGAGCTCCCAGTAAGGATTTGTTTTGCACAAGCTGAAATGCTCGCTTGGTCAGTACTGAAAGAAAAAAAAAAGTAAACAAAAATGGAAATGGAAGGATTTTTTTTTCTAAGTGTTTGACAGCTTTCGCAACTGCATTGGGGCATATGAGCGAGTGGGACACATTAAGCATATAGGTTTGAAAAATAAAAAAAGGACCACACCATCCCTCCAAGGCTGAAAAGGGTTCGTAATCTAAGAATCTCAAAAGTTGTCCTTCATACCCTCTAACAAAAGAAAAAACCAACAGCATGGTCTTGATATTAAGTCTTGTCCTATGAACCATCAGGCTAAGCATTCAGTAATATGTTGTGTGAAAAGAAATCTACCATTCTGTCACCCAAATTAAAGTTTAAAAAATACCCCTCACAAATATGCAAAGAAAATTACAAAGATATTTATATCTTCTCTTTCCATTCCAGAATGTCTAGAAAAGAATACTGCTAGCACAATTCAAACTTAAGGTTAGAAACCAATTACCTAAATAGTCTGAACTTGATATGCTTAATGTTCTTGTCCTGTCATTATGACACAGTCAGTAAAACACTACAAGGAAAGAATTTCAACAGAATGCTCTACAAAACAAGCATCTACGCTACAACAGATGGCCTCTTTGACACTGCATACAAAAGACATGAGTCGGGTGTGGTATTCCATTCAGCCCGAATTAGCCCTGACAGGTAAAGTCAAAGCAGCTCACACCTTAGATGATATATACTGGGGTGATATAGGCATAATACAATAAAACATATACTACACGGCGCACCGGCAGTGGAATTTTAGTTGTAGCGGGGGGTTCCCCGCCAAGCGCCTTATCACGTCGGGGTCCGGGGGTCAGCTCCCTGTCACCGCTCTGTCTGGGCCGACTTCATTTTTGGTACTTTTTAACGTACACTTTTAGGTGTATCCTTTTATTTAAGGTAATTATCATTTAAGACATCCAAAGCACGCATTTCTGCTCTTGAGACCCAAAAAAACAACGGATATTGTAACCTGTCAGGTTATTTCGTTAGACGCGCCGAAGTCGGCAATGCTAAATTGTAAAAAAAAATTTTTTACAAGTGTGAATGAAAAAAAATCAATATAAAATAAAAAGCACGCCAAAAACTGTCGAGCTTTTGGAACATGAACGACATGACATTGGTGCAGATACTCAGAAAAGATGGTATCTGCGCGAATAATAGGAAGCTGTAATTTTGCAACTTTATCCATCTCACACGCAATTCGCTAAGAAGTAATTCCTCCAAATACAACTTTATGTGCCTAAAATAGTCTGGAAAATTCGCATATTTTCTCTAAAGTTTATCCAAATTACCCTGATGTCTCTCTATGAAGAAGTACAAAGCGATTTTAGTGCCAAAATACATCTACAACAATGTAACACACGGACAGTAGGCTATCAGTTACACTCCATAAATTATTCCTTATTTTTCTTAAAACGCTAGATCTAGGTTTTTGTAATTTGACTGAATAACAGGGATGACTTCTTGTGATTGCTTTGCATTATAAGAATAATTTCTAGCTTTCCACTGACACGGAATCAGCACCAGGCTTTTCCAGCTTTTATTTTCGTTTCTATAACCATTTGCAATACTGACAATGTTATGATTTCTTTACATTCATAAGCGTCCGCACATATGTCCGACACAAAAACTAAGAATGAATGTTAGCTGTCATTATTTTTATTCCATACAAGAAGTTCATCTCTACCCATGTATTAACACACTTTTGCATTTTCAAAAAAATCTCATAATACATCTTTCTTAGTTGTATGCAGGCTGCCACAGACACTGCATGATTCATGAACAAACGCAGAATAACTTTCTCTTGTTTAATTGTAGAACAAGAGCTAAAGCTGAGCGTCTTAAGTTAAAAAATGCCGATGTGCATCTTTCTTCACTTATAACTTGACTATTACTACTCGCGCAGATTAAAAATTTCCCATGGTAAAAGATGTGATTCATAGTCAGTTTAACACAGATTTCGGACAGATCTGTCGTGCCTTTTTAAAATAAACAATAATTTATTCATAAGTATGTAACTAAAATAGAGGACAAATTGGGTACTCTACAAACACTTGTCTTGAACAAAAACTAAGGCAAAGAAATTAACCATTCTAACGCAGAATAAATCTCAAGACATTGAGTTTTTAGAACATGCACGTAATGGTTTGCTGTTTGGAATGGGGAAGAAGTTATATCGTTTTAAACATAGTATAGACAAAAATGTGAACTTCTTAACCGACACCGGCAAAGTCCCTTCAGGGCTAATTAACCCAGTGACCCCGAGCCGGGGAGCTCTGGTGGGCTGCTGAGTCACACTAACTAAAGGTAACAGAATCGGGCGAAAAGTGACGCCGTGACTATTACAATAACATTATGCTTCTTTCTTTCTGAGAAAAGACAACAAAAGAGCATTTTTAACTGCAGACACCACAAAATGAAACGGTTAATCGAAACGTTATCGCTCTCTCTTACACTTGATCATGTCATGCTGCAGATTCTCCAACTCTCTCTTCTGCTGAGCTTTGCTCTTTCTTTTCTTCTTCTTCCATTTGTGCATGGACGAGGTCATGTGGGGTTTTGGTTTGGTAGCAAATCCACACACTCCAACATCTGGAAAGTAAATTAAGGAAATAAAAATGCATTAATTCAATACTTTTTCATTTTTGATATAGGAGTTTGAGGCCGTATAAGACAGTTAAGTCATCTTGGGAAAGTGAAGCACGTATACATTCTCTGAATGGAAACTGCAAGGCAAGAAAAATGTTTGACAAAAAAAGGTCGAAAAAAATGTGTGTCCAACTTGAATGAATGCAAACCTTTAAACTTGCAAAGGAAACCCTCCATATTTTCATTTCTAATCAACACAGAATAAAGAAATTTATAAATCCTAAATTTAAAGTGAGTCGCACAGTTTTTGACTCATTGAACTGCTATTCAGAATAATGGTATTAGAGCATTAGGCTCTGCTGCCAACCCAGATCTTGAAATTAATTGGGACTTGAACTTGGTGATTTACACCTCAAATAACTTTCTACTTCAGGGAAATAAAAAGCAGACAGACATGACGAAAACTTTTTTGAGTTCAGAACATTTTTTAAAAATTTGTTATGGAGGGCACTTGTGATAATTGCAAAAGTATTGTAAAATCAGTACAGTTCACTTGGTCCGCATTTTGGGAGTCAGAATTTAAAATTGCAACAAAAAGTAGTATATAAAAACAAAAGTAAAAGAAACCTCAGAAGAGAAGTGAAGAGGTTTACAACTAAAATTTGATTTTTTATAGCCTAGCCTATACACAACACAAGAGCTATTGTTGTAATTAACTCTAACTATGCAGTTTCCACAGACTTCAAAATGACAGTCATGATCACTGCTTGATATATATATATATATGATATGCTGTTACAGCCATTAATGCTGCAGTTTCCTCCTTTTCCAGTATTACTACATGACATAGATTTTAACTAGTGTATATGGTAAGTACACAGAAGATGGAAGTTAAGATTCCCGATGGGTAAGTGGGATTATTTGTGTCACGACGCAGTGGAGTCAGGCGCTCGTCAATTTTGGGGTATATGGAGTTATTGGTACACCATATTTAATCCTAAAGGTTATTCAATTGCCTTGATTTCGATGAAAAAAATATCCATTTATCTGGAATAGAAGTCGAAATATTTGCGATTGAAGGATGTGGGGGTCGCCTTGTTTCAGAAGTAAAACTAACAACAAAATGGCTGCCAAAGTTTGGTGACGGCTATAGCTTAAGATTCTTTGGAAACTGCAAATTTACATTTTTTGTGCCTTTAATCAACGTTTTTCCCTAAAATCCACAAATAAAAGTGCTTTGGCAAGGACATACAAGGTTGAACCAAAAAACAAATATTTGAAAAAAATGTCCAAACTGGCTGAAAAATGCAGACTTCTCGGATTTCATTTTTTTTAAGAGCGCCAGATTTCACCGGGATGCCTCACACTTTATAAGGCTGCCATTATTCTGTGCCCCCCCCCCCTCAAGGTGCCAAAAATCGATGATTATAGTGCATTCTTTAATTTTCAGTTCATAGATTTAGTTATGCTTTTGTTTGTTATCTAATTTTTACTTTTTCAATTGTCTATCGCAGTGGGTAGTATGGAGCTGGAGACAAAAAAGTGGGGAGGGAGGAGGAGGTTGTTAGATTTATTTTGTCCAAATTTTACTTGTTAGTCTTTGGTTAATATCTGTTTTCGATTTCAAAGCAGCTATGCGTACGGCCCTCCCGTACGCACAGCATCAAGGTGTGTTATCTTGACCTCGTACATCGGTGACCCATTTGGTTATAGGCAGCCAATCACATGCCGCCTAGCCATCACGCGCCTCTTGTCTTGCATGCCGGCACCTCGCGTTTGGAATGCGCGATTAAGTTTCTAGATCTAGTGTTTTATCAATGGGTGGGTGGTAATTTTAAGTTGGTACGGAAAATCTACTAAACGCAGAGATCTGAAATTTTACAGCAATAAAGAAGACATGTGGGGC